GAGGAGAATGGTCGACTTAAAATCTAACAACCCCACGCCCAAAGTGGGGAAAAATGCGGAGGGAAAGGTGGAAAAATGCACCCTCCCTAAAACTTGTCAAGAAAGGGAGGCTGTCCTTTCGCGGAGGCAGGCCGCCGGGGTGGCTGCCTGTGCATTGACCTCTGAGCAGGCACATGTCCATCAAGTGGACTGTGGCTGGAGTACAAGACTTGTTGCCTGCTGCGATTTCGGCTGGACATCGCACGTTCGGGACGTAAGATGCCGTTGCCTGCATGGAGGTTAGTGCCAAAAAAGGATGTCCTTGCAACACGGGATGCAAACGAATTCAACCATTCGCACCTCGAATTTCTCGTGCTTCACGAACATCAGGTTCACAGGTGGGCCTGAGCAAGCGAACCACCACTGACACAAAGGCTTTCTGGGATTCATTGCCAGCAAGCCACGCTCGCGAAAGGCCTGCACGCTAACATCATTTTGAAAGACAGCACATCACGCCCTAGAAGCAACAAGGCATCCACCTTTGTTTACTTTACCGGCACGAGGAAGTGGCGGCCGTTCCTATCAGAGGAATGCCTATGTCACTAATGCCATGTACTGCTGGAACCAGCGCGCCCTTCTAGCAATGCCTCAGCAACTTGAGTCAAAATCTTTGGCCGCATCGGTGCGCGCGTCAGTGTCTCACCTATACCACACAATGGCTGCATAATGCGGCATGCCTCCCTGCATGAAGTGGCTGAAAGCCCACCTTCGTACGGAGCGTCCTCACGCACATCCACAGGTTCAGATCGTAAATCGCCATAAAGCAATGACTAGACTATTTTGCCAGCTTTCGCGCGGTGAAGATCAGTGAAGGATTGGCATGGACTAGCAGTGACAGCCTGCAAATCTGCCGCTAGCTCGTACAAACAGCACCTTGCAGCTGACTAAGGACCCAGTGCACAAGAAGCACCAACGACACCATGACGATGCCCTGTTTCGACATGTGAGATGGGGTATCAGTCTGCTCGATTCACTCAGTTGCACGCTCCTTGCTGTCGGTCCGTCGCGGTGGCCTGGACGGCGCACTGCCTCATATCTGCAACGTGCAGCTGCAAGAGGCTGCACGATCTTGCTATTATTTGCTAATACTGCTGCAAGGACATGTAAATCGACCGGGTTGCGCGTAGCAGGGCCGAGCTCCTACGAGGACTCCATGCTGGCACGAGATGCAAACGCGCTTGCTACACATGCTACACCTGCCTCTGCTAGTGGTTCCACATAGGCTTTAGCCCTCCCACGGCGCAAAGGCGGGAGCTCCTTGCAACCCGTGGCAACGGCGGTACAAAGCAACAGCCACCGAATGCTGAGAGCTTCACTTCCCGTCTTCTGGAAGTGCGCACACCATCCTGTCACGGATGTAACAGCCCGTTCTCTGGCCCCTCTGCAAAGAGACTATGACGAGCAAGTCTCTGCTTAATTGTTCTCAACCGGTTTATTGGCGGAAAACATTCTGCAGCCTCAAGATCGACAGCGGCAGCCTAGAGAGGCGACTGACTACAGAATTTGATCTGCTTCCCTCTTGGCTGGTGCCGAGGTCACTGCTGCCTTGGCCAGCCTTTGTTCTGCTTCCACCAGTCGTACACTCCTTGCTGGATAGCGTATTGGACATTTTCTCAGGTTCTAAGCACGTCCTGTCATCATCTTCGCGAAGGTCACGAACTCTTCGCGATCTTGCTCGTCCTCATAACGCTGTACTGGTGGCTCATCTCTTTGACTGAGATTGTCCGCTATGCCCATGTGCATGGAACATCTATTCCCGTGCTTCTTTTCCCTCCGCTGAGCTGAAGGTTGCATCAACATCCCAAAGTGGCCAGGGGGCCTAAGACCAGATCTGGCCACTCAGACAGCTTTGCGGCCAGGCGCTCATCTGACTCGGCCTCATGACAGACTCACTTCCCCAAGTAGCCGCCCATAATTTCTGTACAATGCACAGCAAACCAGTTTCAGCAGCAGGCTCCGTGCCATTTTGTCAATTCGATGGCCACCCACCTGTCACCCAGCGAGCACAACCAGCTGGCCTGATGCCTTCAAGCTTTCCAAGTTATCCGGCTCTTACCCCAAACAAGGTGGCCAAGGAAAACCACAAGACCTGATGTGCATGGTTGACTACAGATTTCAGCAGGATGGCCATCTCGGCGCATCTATTGAATGAGGTGTCTGGCTCTGCGGCCCAGTGATGCCTGCACTTGAGTGAAGATGGAACGCGCATCCTGCCGCTTCAACGCCTGCGAGCAAAGCTTGTGACTTCCAATTCCGCTCATAGAGGAGTAATCTGTTCCAAACTCTAGAGCAATCCAGAACAGAAAAACTCCTCAGTAAACAGCTAGATGCGCAGCAGAAACACGAATACGCATCTTCTGGGCTGATGGCAACAGACTTGAATTCAGAAGCTCCGCACTAGCAAAAATATTCAGTTGCTAGGATGAGCAACCAAACAAGAAACTGCCGGCATTCCTGCAGCAAAGACTCATGTTGCGCGAAGGGTATCACAGGATCGTCCTGGCTTTGCTAACAAGTACGTGTGACTTTGCCTGGTGTCAGACTCCAGGACACCCAAAAACAGCATCATGAGCGCAGACCGTTTTGAAAACTAGTTCCAAGGCACGTCTTGGGCCACGGCTGATAAAAATGTGAAGGCACATCTTGGGGTAGGGCTGAAAGAAATGTAAACTCCATGAGGGATCATTGGGTACAGGTGGGGCCAACATGGAAAAATGGGACCCCAATATGCTGATGATGCGCTGGCCACCTAGGCCAGCATCATCAGCGGGTTGGGGGTCCGCTTCTCCTTTTCCAAGCTCCTAAGCTGCCCGTGCCCGCTGGGCCAGGCCTGGTGGGATTCCTGAGGGTTGGATGCTGGAACCACAGAGGCTATCATTTGTCTTTGCAAGTTCTAGGACACAGGTTTACGAGGTTTTGCATGGAAATATCATAATGAACTGTTGTTGAGTGGAGTGATGGGTTCCAGGATGTTCCAGGGTTTATCATGGTTATGCAGGTTGTTTTCTGCTGGTTTTATAGAATTTGTGTGTGGGTTTGCAGGTCTGGTGCAGGTACCAATTATGCGATGGTTTTGCTGGCTTGTCAGAACAACACGCGGCTCTTGTTTAAGGCGGTGCCGATAAAATTGCAGGGAGTCGGTCAAACAATAGGTGCGAGGGACCAAAAGGTCGTTTAAGTAGCGAAACCGACTTCCAATTGTGCAGAGCTGATGTCCAATATTTCGGTGCTATGCCCGGTGTTCTTTGGGGGGCGTGATAGAATGCAGTGCAAATGGGAGCAAGGCTTCGAGCTGGGACGGCAAGTGTGGGCTGAGGGACGAAGGGCGGCTTTTGCTACGAAAGTCTTTGGTGGTTTTCTTTTTGCTTTTGCAAATGTATTCTGACTCTTTCTGTTTGCAGATATTGCAGATATTTCGTACTAGTCCGAAGCGACTCCTGTGAAGACACACCGCTTTTTATGTTCTAGAAGAAGAACTGTCCTCAGCCCAGGCAAGAAGAGCAGGGATACCCAGGCCTTCCAAGGCCTCACCTGTCAGCAGCATACCGCAAGTTGCGAAGCATGAAAGAGGGCCTCTGAGCTTGAGACCCGGTGAGGCAGGGCAAGCCAAGCATATTCCGGAAGCGGGCTGCCTGGGAACTCAATGAGGAAGGCAATTTTGCAGAAAGCTTGTTTTTGCCCAACTCTCCGCACCCATTCAAGCGAAGCCGTCGACAAAGCTCTACCGCTCGTGCGCCGCCTCAGGTGGCACTGGAGCTTGGGGCAAAACAATTCTCTGACAATTCCCAGGTTGGCTCCACTGCCACAGAGGCAGTCACCCCAGCTTTTGCCGTACACGAACAGGGGAGCAGGGCCTGCAGTTCACATGGCAATTGCCTTGTTGGAAATACTTTCTTTCATGCACACGAGAACAAGCCTGCCGACTGCTGCGTCCATTCGGCTATTGCCTGGGAAACGTCATGCTTCAGCTGTGCTGTGGGTACGGTTCATTCTTTTTAAAGAGGGGCCTCGAGCGCAGCAACTGCATCTGCAGAGCTGCCTGCTGTATCAACACGTCTTTCGAACAACTGCATCTGCGGATTTTGCCCAAGGATGCTAGGGAGCACGTTGTTGTGCAGCGAAGCAAATATATGCAAATGCCCTCCCTATGCTTGTACAAACGGTTCACTTGGGACGATTTTCAAGATACTGCATCTCATGCGTGGTGCCTGTGGCTGCTCACCTTAAGTGACTGCCAGGTTGCCAGCTGCAATGCCATGTATGCAAGGCTCAAAAAACACGACAAGAATGACAGCACCTGCAAATACATCCTACAAGTACCCCACGCACATCGCAATAAATTGGCTCAAAGTGACGCGGCGGTGCACAATTTGCTAGTTGTTGGTCCGCGCGTTGCCCCGTAACTTAGATCTGCACATGAGTGGAGATTCGGCAGAACAGCGGCCACCTTCCGTTGCCTCAAAGCCTCAGATCAATGGAAACTTGACACAGCCAAATCTTGCCGCCCAGATCAGCCTTCTTACCTCCATGAGGAAGCTCCACTCGAAAACCTCATCACTGTATCATTAAGCTCCGGGAAAGCCTCCAAGACATTCTACGTGATCAGGCGCTGGCAATCTCTGGTTCTGCAGACATCCCATGAATGAGAAGTACAATCGCCGCCACCCTCTCCCCAGGCGGGATGGAGAGCAGCGCCTTGGCAAAAATAAGCATTAAGCATGCTTAAGTTTGTGCAGTTGCTCTAGCATGCCTCAACTTTGCCCAGCGGTGTGTCTATGTGCAATATCTCCACCTGCTCAAACAAAATTGTTTGAACCTTCCATCAAGATCATACAAGTTTCCACGCGGCGGACCAGCTGCAGCATGATTTTGTTAACCGATGTAAGTCCTGAAACCTACTACACTACTATCCTATGCGTGAAACTATGGAAAACAAGACACTGCACAAGTGTCGGAATTGCTCAGTCAGATTCGATGCTGCCAGTGCTTGCCATGCGCAGCTTGGTCCGCGCATCAGCTCCATCAGCATCCCCCAGCCACTCATAAAGTGGCTCCGGCATCTCCCTGTAGTTTGACAAGTGTTAGGAGGCATGACTCCTTCCTACTCGCGCAGACATTCTGTATCAGTCTGTCCACCAACAGCTGTCAGGGCATGTCTGGCCTGGGCCAGTAGTTGAGCCAAGGTGACATCGAGAGCATGGCAGGAACCACGAGAGTGCGTACCAGGAAGGTGTCCTCCAAGGCACATTGTCCACTTGATTCCATACATTCGGACCACAGATACAGTTCACTGGAATGCTGCTGCTGCTGCTGCTGCTGCCAAGACGCAACCACAATGCTAAACACGAACACGAAACCCTGCTGGTTCATCATCGGCAGCTCCTTACCGGAAGAAATGTTGCTTGAAATCTGTTAAAGCTCTGTCTTTGCTAAGCCGCCTGAGCTCAAGCCTCCCGCTCTACGCGCGCAGATAATGGACCCGCATGCTTGACAGCTTGATAGCTAATTATGACGAACCAGTACTTCATGTTGCCCGGGCGGATGCATGTCTGCACAATTTGCTGGCTGAACACGTCTTAACCATGCCCAGCGGCAGACGTGAGAACCAAGGCCAGGAACGTCAGGCCCAGAATCAATCCCGCTGCAGAGATGGTTCCACCGGTTGCAGACAAACCAAGCTGAATGGATTCACGATCTCCAAACCCCTGCCGCTGTGATTCACACTCTTCTGAGTCTTCTGCCACTAGAAACCTATCGGATTGAAGAAGTTTGCAATCACTTCTGCCCAACCTCGCTGCGAAACTCAAAGACCCGCTCAAAAAGAAAGAAGTCATAGTCTAGGGCGAGGCCGATCAGGAAAGTCAGGCTGAAGACAGGTACTGTCCAATCCTGAGCTCAAGCCCAACGTTTCTGCACAATTATCTTGTAAACTGATTTCCCGCATTCACATTCATCTGAGAAAGTGTCCAAGCCATCGCTGCCAGTGGGAGCCAATCCTGCTTCAGGAACATAGATCAGTACTCAGGCTTGAACAATGGCTATGACGGCCATCTGCTTCTGGATGCATCATGCTAACCAAGACGATCCCATCTTCACAGGTGTGGCCTTGCAATGTTACACACAGGTGACAACTATGTCAATTTACGTACTGCCGTTGTTGTCGTCGTCGTTGTCGTTGTTGTTGCTGTTGCTGTTGCTGTTGCTGTTGCTGTTGCTGTTGCTGCTGCTGTTGTTGCTATTGCTGCTGCTGGTGCGGCGGAGGCGGCCGTGGTGGTGGTGGCGTTGGTGGTTACAAGCAACATCGCCGATTGTTTGCGATTGTTTCTTCGGAAGCCTTCAATGTGGAGGAACAGATGAAACAGCTCTCATGCCGACTGCACCCATAGCACAGAACATCACAAAACAGGATACTGTGGTGTCAATACAAGTCCTGGTTGTTCCGTTGAAACCCCAATCTCTCAGCTGACGCCTAAGGTCAGCTGAGGAGATTCTTGGTTCAACCGTTTCTGCTGAGACTGCGGTTACCATTGAGACCTGCATTGGCATGTAAACATTGGAATCAGGGAAATAATTTATTTGAAAAAAGTTAGCGATTTATTTGCGGAAATGGTTTTGTGAACGGGAAGAAAAAATTGAGAACAAATTGAGGAAAATGTGAGGAAAATTTGAGGAAAATTTGAGGGAACTTTGAAGAAACTTTGAGGAAAGTTTGAAGAAAGTTTGAAAAAAAATTGAGGAAAATTTGAGGACTTCAAGGAAATTTGAAGAAAATTTGAAGAACATTTGAGGACAAAATGAAAGTTTCCAAAACTAGGGGCGCCCATTGGAAGTTGTCTAAAAGTCTGATAAGAATCGAGGCGGGAGGGGCTGGGGATGAGTGGGCGGCGGCCAGCCAGCCGCCTGCCCCTCCCCAGCCCTTCTAGCCCTCGATTTTCCGCTAATTTTCCGCTAATTTTCCACGAATTTTCCGCTAATGTTCCACTAATTTTCCGCTAATTTTCCGCTAATTTTCCACTAATTTTCCACTAATGTTCCGCTAATTTCCGCTAATTTTCCGCTAATTTCCGCTAATTTCCACTAATGTTCCGCTAATTTTCCGCTAATTTTCCGATAACTTTCCACTAATTTTCCACTAGTTGTCCGCTAATGTTCCGGTAGTTTTTTGCTAGTTCTCAGGAACTGGCAGAAAATTAGCGGACAACTAGCAGAAAATTAGTGGAAAATTAATGGAAAATTAGCGGAAAATTAGCGGAAAATTAGCGGACAATTAGCGGAAAATTGGCGGAAATTTAGCGGCACATTAGCGGGCTGGAGGGTCAGGGGCTGGGAGAGGCGGGGAGGGCCGGCTGGGGCGGGGCCCGGGGCCGGGCGTGGGAGCTGGGGGCGCGGGTCGTGTTGGGACTGGGGGAGTCCAGCACCTCTACAACTCCATCTACAACATTCACCATCCACTGATGGCCCGCTAATTTTCCACTAATTTTCCGCTAATTGTCCACTAAGTTTCCACTAATTTTCCGCTAATTTTCTGCTAATTTTTCGCTAATTTTCCGCTAATTGTCCGCTAATTGTCCGCTAATTTTCCGCTAAGTTTCCGCTAATTTTCCACTATCTTTCTGCTATTTTTCCACTAATTTTCCTCAAGCCCCAACAAACCCAAACAGACCCGCTCTCAAAGAAATCACAAAGAAATCGCAAATTTTCCGCTAATTCTCCTCAAGCCCAAACAACTCCCAACAGCCCGTTCTCAAAAAGATCACAAAGAAATCACAATTCCGATCACAAAACGAATCACTAAATAATCGCTAATAAATTCCCTGGCAGTGCCCTCAGTCTTTACATGGTGCGCCGGTCACAAGGTTACCATGTGAACTTACAGCTTGAAATCTGCACTGCAGACCGTTGGCCAACCAACAAAACCCAACCCCAATCTCCCTCCAAACACCTCCAGATCCTAAACCCTGAATCCTGCGCCACAAGCCCGAAACATCCCAAAACCCTTCCATCGCCCGAGGCAAGGGGGTGGTTTACGTAGGGATTTCGGAAAAGATATTCAAAACACTGCAACCTGTTCGCAAAAGGCATCACGTGGCGGAGAGCTATCATGATAGCAACTGTTGCGAGTCTGCTGAGGATGTAGATGGTGTCGAGAGCTGCATGGTCACAGTTTAAGGAACAGGGAAATTGCAGAGGAAGGGATCTGGTGTGGCCTCTGCGGGGACCGACAAACAATTTGGTAGGGCCTAAGGCTCACCTTCAGGTACCACCCAAACAGCCAGATGCCTGCCTGGTAGACCCAGAAATGCCAAGACCCCATCCTCATAAACGAGGAAGGCTGCTCCGTATGTCCAGGTAACTGGCACAATCACTGTCACAAAGAGCTTGAAGGGCACGAGGAATGCATTGAACCACAGCGCAATAAGTGAGAAGCATATCAGCACCTCACCACATTTATCCAAAAGTGACAAAGAAAGAAAACATGCGCTCATGAGATATCTTTGTCGTGCTTCAGAAGAACATGCTGAGGTGTGGACACAGATCAAAAAGCATGTCGGCAGCGCTGAAGATGTGACATTGATCAGGTCAGTAACGACAGATGCGGGTGAGAACATGTAGTACCTAAGGTCACCAGTTTCACAGTCTAAGTTTAAGCAAACGATTCTTGTCTCTCTTCTTTGAGCCAAAAGCAGCGCCAAGCTGCCGCAGCTGTGGAATGGTAGCTCGGCCACGGAACTGCATTTCTTGAAGGACCTGGGCCACCTGAGCCTGAAGCTGGAATGCCTGTGGTCCCAAGGGGTCCATGACAGGATTGAGCACAGTCAACATGGCATTCTTGCGGACCATCTCTTCCCACATGAGATCGAGGTGTTCCGAGGTCTGCGTCAAGAAAATATTGCGGGACAGGAAGCTCTTGCGAACCAAATTCATCTGGTTCAGGCTGGGACAGACCAGCTGTCCAAAGACTTCATTGAAGACACTCTTTGCAAAGGGCAGTGGGGAGTGAATATAGCTTTTGTCAATGGGGACACTTGGACTTTGGAAGCTTTTGGCTCCCAGCTCATAGGGCGTACCCTCTGTTCTGGCTATCAGCGCGCGAATCATCTCGCAATTCAGCTGAAATAAATCTTCATTAACCAGCGGTGCTGAGACAGTGCCAGCACTTTGCGCATCTGAGTCCACAGCATTGGTGGCAAAAATGAGAACTGGCCTGAGCGCATGCCGAAGAACAAGTGCTGACTGGAAGCCTACGTCCTACGTCTAGGGCCGAGCAACATTAGAGTCATCTCAAAATCGAAATCCTCGTGTCATTTGCAAATCAGCACCGTAACTTGAAAGCGGCTCACAGCTCACTCAACTCGGCTCCTGCATGATCTCAAGACTTGTGTTGAAGGCTCGAGAGCCTCGAGGCATTGTCATCTCGAAGCTGTGGCCCATTTTGGTGAATCTCAGCAGAGTTGAGAGTACACTGCATGTGCAGTACATTCTAGGCAACAATGCAACATGCTCCGGGCGGAATGGCTGTGCGGTAGCGAACCACATGGTCACCCGTGGCAGTTGAGGAGTGCAACGGAAGGCTACGTTTTACGGTGCCTCGCACAAACCAAACAACGAGGAACCTTCAGTGACCTAAGGTGAGGGGGGGAAAGCGAGAATGGCCACAGGCTGCATCACTCCGACATATCAGACCAGAAGGGGTAAGAGAACAGAAGCGCCACCAAGGAGCTTTCCTCTTATGGTGGGGTCTGCAGACTGCCACAGAGACAAGAATGCATCACATTGCGTCACATGCACGGGATGTGGGCCTGGAAGGACAATAATACCCATGGCTTGGCCTTCACGCAGAAAACGAAACATGAGTCAACATAAGGTATAGTTCACTCATTTATCTGAAAAGTTGTCTGAGAGATTCCCTGACTGCAGAACACCTCAGAGGAGCAGAGTGCATCGGATGCGCAGTACAGGCAGTAACAAGAGGACCATATACAGCTGGACACATGGCAAAGAAGGAAAGCATTGCTCGGGAAGCTTGCACGTTGATGTTGAGAACACAGATCCTGGAACCATCATGTACTTTGTCATTCCATTTGAATCTTGTCAATGAAAGTCGGGATATGCTGGCATGTGTTGCTGTATCCTCGTCACTGAAATACCCGTGCTTCACATGTCCAAAAAAATTGAGGACAATCAAGGTTGTCCAAATGAAAGGCGAATAGAATGCAAATACAAGGTAAATGAGAAGCAAGTGGGATCTGCTATGGCCAGTGCTGAGCGCTTTTGCTGGTTGCCAACAGAACTTGATACACAAGGGCTCACAAAGAGCTGCTGCTGAAAGAATTTCGAGCAGCCTGTAGCAGCCTCTGCATGCACATGTCACATGTCAGTTGCAGCTTTGTTTTACCCTTCTTTTAGATTTGGGTATCTGAGGGCCCAACTTTCTGGCAGCTTTGTTTGACCTTTGATTCACCTCCTGCCAAACCTCATATTACCTCAGTACCAAACAAAGACCCTCCAAACAAGAAGAAATGCAAGAAACTGAGGAATAGACTGAAAATTCAGAACATCGAAGTTTTGAAGGAATCTGAATGTCAACGGCATCATGAGCCCGTAAATCGCGGCGAAGGCAATCAAATTGCAGGGGAAAGCCGTGAGGATCTTGCCGATGGAGTAGTATGGCCCTTTTCGGAACTGCTCCACCCGCCGCATGGCTTCGCCTGCAAGATGCAGAGGGATGGGATAGCTGAATCTCAAGGCCTATGATCTAACTGGTCGCTGTCCTGTTGGGCTCAAAGGTTCAACTTCTGTGGGAACTCCAGCATCTGGACCCAGCCATGGCAGGATCGCCAATACCGGGGCCACAAATGTCAGCTGAGCGAGGACCTTGTCAGATCATTGATGTATTGAAGGATGTCTGCAAGCAAACTTCTGCTGTCCAGCAAGGAAAGCTGTCTCAGCAACTGGCGCACACCATGATGGCAGATGCAGCAGCAATTCCAAAAGTCTTGAACATGTCAGGCAAACCCAGCATCACGGACCAGCAAATCGACAATACGACGCCTCGGGCAGTCATGCAAAAATGACTTGAAAACTTCAGACTCCTTGAAAGGAACATCTGCACGCGCCTGATACGACGACGATACTGCCACTGCTTGCCACCGTCTGAATGATAGCCTCCTCCACGGTGCAACCTGCCTCTCGCTCAGTCTTGTACCGTGTGAGCATGAAGAGAGCATAGTCCCACGATAAAGCCATGATCAGCATCAACATGATCATCAAAGCATAGTAGCTGATGGTCATCCCGGCGCAGGACACGAAGTACATGAAACCAAAACCAACTAAGATTTCGAAAAGCATAGGGGTTAATGCCAGTAGCAGCAGTCTGGCACTTCGAAGTACGTATCCAAGAATTAGAATGGGAAGCCACACTGTCTTCACTTCGTGCAAGGTGAAGTCAAAGATTGACACCTAGGCTCAGCAGACAGACTTGATCCTGGATGCCGGCTAAAGCACCCCACAACCGCACAAGCAAAGTGAAATCTATTTCCAGCCAGAAAGCCTTCATCTCATGGTCCAAAATAATGTTGCCCGTGAGCTTGACTTCCATGGCGCCTTCTCCGCCAAACTCGTCAATAGACTCAATAAATTCACGCAGTTGTACCACAAAGTCTTCCGCCTTCTGTTTCAGTTGAACTGGAATCGACCACGTCCACATCAACATGATACTCTGCTGATCTTTGGACTTGAACGGATTAAGCAGCTGATGATGTCCAACAAAGTCAAAGTAAGATTGAAAAGATACTGCCGAAGATGGATGCTCAGAGCCGAAACGTAGAACTCGGTCTTTGATCTGTTCAGCATAGACCTCTGCGACGTTGTTACTCTGTACATTGATGCACCACGTCTTGCACTTCATCACAACCTTGGCGCTTGCTTGCTCAAGCTGCTTCGTCCAAATGATCACGCTTTCATGCATGTGAATTTGGACAGCTGAGACACCATCTCCAAGCGCTTTGTAGAGGCACTGTGAAATTGCCTGTCGTGCCAGGGAGTTCTAGATCAGGCCTCATCGTGTTTGCTTCAAAGCCCTTTCTGAATGCGCTCCCCACACAATACCAACGCCTCCCACCCCTCTCACCCCCACCTCCCCACGCCTTCACACCACCTACTCCCCTTCGCCCCAACACCCAGCACCATGGCAAGTCGGGTCCTGCAAGACCGGGTGCCAAGGCGGACGTGTGAATATCTTTTGTCGTTATTTTTGCTTAAAAAACTGTCACCAAGCGGCGAATCTAGCACCTCCATAGCTGCTGCACTCTGAGTGCCTGCAGGAGGCGTCTTGTCCATGCCCACCTCTGCTTAGCAATCACAAAGTGATCTGCGTTTAATTCTCTCTTATGCTATCAGAATGCCTTGGCCGGCTCTCTTCCGGTACTCAAGTTAACAGCATTCTGACATTATGATTCTCGCTTTGCATGATTTTGCATGGCTGCATGACGGGGCACTGTACGTCGCAGTACCAAGATAAGGGCCGGAATTGTGAAAACTGTCGCGGCAGTCACCCACGTGCCAACAAGGCAGAATCGATATCTGTAGACTCTCCTTGCGATGACATACATGCAGGCGTCCATGTAGCTGGCATCCTGAGACGCTCAGACTAAAACAGTGCTCGGCGCTGCCGGATGATTCTCGACAAAAAATCCACTCTGCAACGAGCCACATGGCCATCTTGGTTCTTCTCGCGGTCACATTCACCATCACCATCGGACATGGCCAGTGCAAAATATGCAGACTAGCGAATCAATCTAATGTTGAGCAGATGTTGTTGCTCATGGTTGAATACATCTTCATAATCTGTCCTCCGAACTGTTCCCACCCAACATCTACATTGATGAAGAAATATGTTGAGATGCATGCGCTTGCTTGCTCAAATTAATTAAAAACTGGAGATCCAAACGGATGAAGTGAAGTATGAATCCACCACATGACTTCAATAGAATCTTGCAGTGCCACACTCAGTCTACTCTCCAAAAGTAACTTTCACGCATCTTGCTGGTGGGCGCACATCGGGCGAAGAGGCAGCATGTGTCCTGCCAAGCAGTTGAACTTTCGCTGCCAGGGCCACATCTGCACACGCTCCTCGCAGAACAAACTGCCGCTGCCGCAGGGTCCATGGGTCACGATTGTGGTGCCATTGTCGTTCTGCACAGGACTCGGACATCAGCCTAGCCACCACTCAAATCCTCTTCCCGTCATTCCATCAATTTCTCAAACTCCAGGCTTAAAGACGCTGTTCTGCTCATGTGTCTGCTGCAGAGCCAAAAAAGCGGAGTATGGTACATGTTTCATTTAAAGGTCCTGCACCTCCCACAACACCACAACGAAGACCCAAAGCAGTCGTAGTGCAGTCAATGTCCTGCAAGTCCTCCGGCACCCGACACGAGGTACTTCACGTCTTTGGCTTTTGGCTTTTGGCGGTCACTGTCATCTAAGATGAACTCAACCTGACCGGCAAGCCGCAACTTATATCCAGAGTATGCTGCTGAATTTCACCCAAGAGTGCGTAGAGTAGCGCAGAACAAGCAGTCACTCAACAACCTGTCTTCATGCGATCAGGCCACCTCCATTCTCGTGCCATCTCCAGCACATACGTAATCTGGCGGAGCAGCGTCCAGAAAAGCCCTGCGGCATCGAGCTCACTTCTCTCTTACCACGCCGCGGCCAATTCCCGACTCAAATCGGCCACGAAATCGCGTACTTAAACAAATGAAAAGGACTTTTCGCCTTTCATGCACAGGCACATACTCAGGGCTCGCGGCTGCTCGCAGATCCGCGGCGACAAGATGTGAGATGCGGTGAGACCTTTGGGACATCAAGCCCCTTCAGATCCTTCAGACCTTTGGCCACAGGAGCTGGGTGGATCCTTTGTCAGCTGTTGTGCTGACAGCAATCTACAAAACAGGCACTTGCCTGCCAAATAACAAATCTCTGAATCAAGGTGCGGCTCCTCCTAGCTGCCGCCTTCTACAGGTGCTGATGATCGGTTGCCGCCCACTATGATGTGCGAGGCATCCTGGCAAACGCCAAGGACATGCTGTGTGCAGGAACGTGATAGCGTGCACGTAAACCTTCCCAACATGAAAAGCCAGCCAGAAGTTCCATAGCATCGCGATGATAAGCATTGCCGCGGCCAAAGCCAAGCTTTGGGTCATCAATGGGAGGTAACCAGCCGTAGGCCTTGCCAAGTCACACAAGTAAAATGCACGTCAGCACCATGATCAGCCAGGTTCGCCTGGGAGCTTCTGACCATCCATCGAGTTCGAAGAGGCACGGAGCAGCGCTTCCTCACGGCCTCTAAATTCTTTGAAGGTCAAACCATGCGGACGCCCTGTGAGGGGACGACGGCTCTGCCTCTGTGTGTCGGATGTGAAAAGTTTCCTGCAACTGAAGCAGCAGACGATCCCTGCGTTTGAATGATACGCACGTGTCAGGTACATGTCTTGAAGCTAGCCTTGGGATTCTTGGGATCAAAGACCGAGTTGTCCTTCCGGCAGCAAGCTGACGCTAGGCTTCTGGCAGGGCTGACAAGACTTTGCTCGAAAGGCCTTGAGCTGGTCGTATGTGAAGCCATGCTCCTACAAGAAAAACATCAACGCCCACCACCGACTTGATTGCAGGGGGGACTTTCCCCTGTCCTTGGACACAGGATGTCTCTCATCTCTGAAGTAGCCGAAGTAAGCCTTGGTTCTGGCATGAAAGGCTTCAAAAAAGCTACTTGCCTTGTGAAGAAAAAAGATGGCTACATACAGTGTTGGTTGGTCGATAAAAACCCTCTTGTGTTGTCAAAAACGCGGAGGGGGTAGGGATCGTAGGAGGGTGTCCCCGCTGCGTCTTGCTGGAAGTTACCACATTCGAGGCAGCTGTCTGAGCCGACTTCCACACCATCGGCAAGGCCCTAGGAGATATCTCTTATCGAGAAAGAACGATACCTTGAAGATGACACAACGTTTGATTCAAGCGCGGTGCCGCTGCAATGTTGGCTGCGCGTGTGCAAAACCACTTCCTCTCTGAGTTGGGGGGCGTGTTGAGTGGTTTGGAACGACGGTAAAGGGTGAGACCATTCTCTTTTCCTGCCTAAAAACTTGCAATGCAGGGGGCAGGGGGAGGGAGAGGGAAGGCGGGGTAATGCTGCATTCTCTTGTAATACACATTGCAGACTCACGCGGCTGCAGCTTGGGCCTGCTGGGCTCCAAGGCAGTGCCTCGGCCCCAACGAGGCCTTGGAGGTAGGCTTCCTTGGAAAGATTACAACAACATCACACGAACCTGGCTTGGATTTCTCTGGCAACGCCGCAATGCCACAGCAATATCGGCTGCGCTGGCATGAAGCGGCTTCCCCTTCTGCTGTTAGGATTTCTGCTATGACTTTCCGTCTGCGTCTCCGTATTGTTTCCGTCTCGTGTTACAGGAAGAACCTGACTGCCTCTGGCCCCGTTCTGCAGGCAGCCTGAGATCAACAATCGCTCCGGAAGCTTCCCCCCGATACGGATGGATTTGTTGAAGGTTTCGTGGGGTGCACAGGGGCCGCGAGAGAACATCGTGAGCACTGATCGTTTTCAAAATGAGAACCAGAACCCTTCCTGCGCCGGAGCTGAGAAAAGTGCAGATTTCAATGAGTCTTATGGGGTCCCAACATGGAGAAAAGGGCCCCCCAAAATGCTCCAAGCGGAGTCCCGCATCACCGGCAACATTGGGGCGTCCCTTTCTCCATTTTGCTGCTTGTAATCTGCCCCCGCACTCTCAGCCAAGCCTTCAGTTGGTACGCGCGGTTTGCGCAGCACCAGCGTGCGCTGGCGTAAGCTGACTTACGGCCCGGCGCATGCAGCGCGATTTTGGCGTGAGCCTTGGCAAATGTTAGCAAAATTGGATTTGAACACATTTTACCCCGTTGGCATTGCCCGCCCCTTGCGTCAGCCCCTGAAGCTACCTTGACACACCCAGCAAGCCATCAGTCGGTTGCTCAATGGAGCAAGGATGATGCCAGACAGGCCACTCCCGTTGCCAGACTTGCTGACCATGACAATAGCGTCTCGACAATGCTATATCTTGCTCCTGCTCAGGGTGCTGCGCCAGCGCATACAGTGAGGGGGAACATGGGGCTGAACAAGATGCCTGATTCAAAGCCGGTCAAAAAAAGATTGCCGGCCAGATCAGTCTGAGGGCACCAAACATTGCATTCATAGCGCTGTCCACTTGAGAAACTGAGCGTGCCATTCCTGGCCACTTGGATCAGCTCCCCTGAGGTCAGAAGGCGACTTCTACGGACTCTTTGGTAGTTCATGGAGTCACATGGCTACTCGTAGCATCGTAGCATTGGCTCCCACTGACCAGATGCGCCAGCGCTAGCTGATAGTCGAGTGGCTGTGCTCGAATGGAATGGTAGCAGTAGCAGCAGTAACAATAGCATTAGCCACCAACAAAAGACCTCTGCAGGTGCGATCGGCTGCCAACATGGTCATGAGGATAATTATGCCGATAATGATATTGATAAAAATAACGGTAATGATATTGAGAACGATGCTGACATTGGCAGGAAAACTCCAAACTGCTGGTAAGCGCATTTTGAGGGTTTGGATGAGGGAGCCTGAAACCCGAATCTTGAAGGAAACTCGAGGCTGACTCTGTTGCCACAACTGGCAACAGTTCAGCCCTGACATTTGTCGTGACGCACATGTGGAGTCTCGCGTGGCCACCAGTTGCCACGACAGAGGGTGGGTTTCGAGTTTCCTTCACGTGGGTTTCGGGCCCCGTCGTCTGACCCCTCCAAAATGCTGCGCTTGCCAGCAGTTTTGAACTTTCCCATCCTATGCCCTTTGCCTGGTTTGATCCTGATCCTCTTTAAGGTTTTTTTCTGGTTGCACGTGCCTAGTAGTAGCAGTAGTAGTAGTAGTAGTAGTAGTAGCAGCAGTAGTAGTATTAGTAATACTACTACTAATAATAATAATACTAATGCTTGTAGCATTGACTCCCACTGTGGTTCTCGCGCACTAGATGCGCCAGCGCTAAGCCGCTGCCACTTAGCTGTTCACAAGCTGACTCTATCAGCTGTGCTCGAATGGAATAATGGTAAAAATTGTTGTTGTTGTTGTTGTTGTTGTAATTGTGATGATAGTAGTAGTAGTAGTAGTAGTAGCAGTAGTAGTAGTAGTAGCAGTAGTAGTAGTAGTAGTAGGAGTAGTAGGAGTAGTAGGGGTAGGATCCCAAACACGTCCGGCCGTGGTATAAAACCCATCTTTTTGGGTTTTTGTGCTGACAACCTGCATTTCAGTGGCAAACACATGTTTCCGCCTAGCGCGCTCGAAAACACTGGTTTGGGATTTTCTCATGTCCACGCACGCGAAGTCACAGTTTCGGCAACATTTGAAATCATTTTTTCGTCATTGTTTTTTGCAATAAGGAATTTTGGAGTTGTTCAGCGTTTTTTGCCTTTTTCCGTCATGCAGTTCTTGCCCCGCTTACGCTTTCACGTCGTAGAAAAGCTCCAAAAACTCAAGTTCGGCACGTTCGGTTGCGGATGGGAGGGTGCCAAACGTTTAGTTTTGCATTCCCTGCCTGATTTTTCCGCTGCGTGC